TGTGACCTTGTCAGGAATTCGAGGAGGGGAGATAATTCAAAAGAGGGTTTGCCACTGAGAGAGACATTAACGATAATAATATCGAACTTGCTCGTAATAGTATAGTATATGTAAATTGTTATTGTCTTCATTCAAATTAGTATAATTCTGTGCAGAGTACCCAAGGGAATATTTAAAGTACATTAAAACATAGAGATTATTCTGGTTCCCATTTTGCAATGTACATACTTCCATTTCAGTGACTTCGTTTTCAGTTCCTCTCGTTGAGCCAAAGCTAGAACCCTCAGTTAACGTTGATTTGGAACCTACATATACCTGAAATAAGTATACATCTTATGATTAATAAAACATATGTAATGTTACTATATAAACATTAAAACATATACATATACATATAAAACATATATATATTTCAATATACAAATATATACAAGATAATATTACATCTATTACATTTCATTACTTCAAAAGCATTACTTCTTAGAGAATGAAAAAAGCTAGAATCGTAATACTTACTTAAAAAAAATAATACTTACTTTACAAATATATACATATGTATAATTCAAAGGAATTAATAGTAAATTATAAGTTTCAGTCATCATAAAATAGAAAAGCACACTTGATAATAAACAATAGCATCAAGAGAAATTCAGTAAGATTATTTATAAGAAAAAAAAGCGTTTTACTTTCTACTAAAATAATATAATAATATGTGACAAATTATCCATCAAATATGATCGACAATCATATTAGAATAAAAAAATCTAAGTACATAGGAATAAGTATTAGAGCAAGCTATAAGCCAAACATAAAACTAATCTTTATTATTGTCACGTAGAATGGTAGATTACTTTATTTTTATACAGAAAAGCAAAGACTGTACGAGTGAGGTAAACATGATCAAAATAATTTCATTGATTTATACATTCGATAATGTCAGCAGTCTAATTTTAGGATAAAATATGAATAAGCCTAATATTGGGGAAATATTAGTGCCAAGAATTCGGCATGAGTTAAGATACAGATGAAGCGTACTGAGTAATGAAAGAGAAATACAATAGTCTAAAGGATATTTCCGTCATGCGCAAATCTCTGTAGTCTAAGAGTGTTTTATAAGGAAAGCATCTGAGTACATATAACCACCTGTATAAATGCAGCATGAAGTAAGTTATGCTAATATTATTATAACACATGCATTGCGATGAAAGCATTTTAAATAAATTTACGTTAACAAATGCTGTTATTGTTTAAAAAATTAAGTTTAATAAATTAAGATATAAAAAAAACGCAAATGAGATATAAATGGATCTTTACTTCAAGATTTTAATTCTAACATACTTACAAATTATATTATAATTATAGTTTGCTTGCATTATGTTAAAGTACTTTATAAAAATAACAATCTTTAAGATAAAAAATGCCAACAATATAATAATTTAAACAGAATTATTATATTTAATTATAAAAATCTAAGAAAGAAATCTAGAAAATTGCTCTTATTGTGCTTAATTAAACAAATAGAAGAACTACAATGTTTCTTCATTCTCCTTAGGATATCTTTCATAAAGAGATAGCCGACATCGGTATTGATATGGCACACAAAAGAAAGACCAATATAGAACAAATATCTGTAGAACGAATCGACCTTACGATCCATGTTTCGATGTCAAGGCAATTAAAATCCAATTATTATAACAGCTCATAAAAAATTACTGTCATGACAAATAAAAAAGTTTTAAAAGGTGTAAAAAAATAAGAATATTTCCCAGGCATTACAATGTCCTTTAGTCTTTAAGATGTTGCGGAAAGCTCAAGTTTCAAATGCGAAAATGCAATCTAACATGCTCTAAAAGTGTTCTACTTCCATGGAGCAAGTATTAATAAAGGAAAATCAAGGGAAAAGAAAGCAAATGGTACGTAGTAAAAGTGAAACAAAACGATACGTACTTCTTCCCGGCGTTTAAGCCACCGCCCGCATGGGCTCTCTTCCAGGATCTCGCTCTCATCCTCCGAGTCTTCACCACTTTCCCGCGGTGACTTGTGCTCTGGATCCGTGCTGGAGCGGCTCCCGGGCATCACACACGCTTGCGATTAGTTAGAAAGGCAGCAGGCCAAACTCATCGGTAACGAGATCCAGGGCGCGGGATGCTCTCTTCTAGTCTCACATCGGACGATTCGCCACGACAACGACCGGCGACGTACTGACTCGTGGGATGAGCGGAGTACACGAGAGAAGCAGCAACGGCGACAGTCTCGGCGTCGTCGGTGTCGGTGTCAGCTACGACGGCAACAGTAGCGGTGAC